GAACACTCTGTCGGCAGTCTGGGTTTGTTTCTGATCGAGACAAAGGAAGATATTATAAAACCTTATACCTGACATTATTGCTTGCTCATCAGTCATCGATCATCTCAAGCAGTTCTGAGCTTTCAGGTTTAGTCATCGATCACCATCCAGCCGTAAAAGAACTTTGCATCAAGGAAGAAGGTTATTGTAATTCAAGAAAGAAAAACGGGTATTCAAGATTATCGAGTAGAACGCATACCAAAATTGAATTGAATTGAATTGAATTGGATTTGCCGCAGGAACCAGACTCTGTCTTTCTGGGTTTTGTTTCTGCGACAAATCAAAAAAGGAGAATAGGGGATCTGAAGTTCGAATGGTAACGGGTACGACTTATGAGTAGATATATATATGTTTATATTAGAGGGAGCGGGTTCGCCAACTGGAAAATTCGATTACAACGGTCAAATTTTTCTTCAGATCTCTGGTTTTTGTTTCTGAGAGGAAGGAATTGAAGAAGCAAGAACTGATGACGTCACGGTCAAAGGCTGGAGATGATGGCGCGGAAGAAGACTTGCCGGATTGCCAACCTGGCAAGTTCGAATATACGGACGGAGGGTATGTTGCAGGTAAACGCTCCTACTCTTGCTCCTTTATCAAAAAAATATATTAAGGCTCTTTTTAATTTTATTCCAAAATTTTACTAATTTGGCAAAATTTTGTTATAAAAATAAATCTTAGACAGTACGATAATAACACCATTGTATTCGACTGAACCAAAAAAATTACTCTCCTGTTCTTAATTAAGTTCCTAGTTTGACTTCACACATTTGAACACTGTTTGACATTGTTTAAACACTGTTTGACACTGTTTTGGTGTAAATCATTTGCCAAATAAGAAAAGGTTTGAAGTAGAAACTTTTATATGGACCATCCCAAAAAGGAAAGTAGGAACTTAATTACAAGACAGAGGGAGTACTAGTTATGGTCCCAAAAAATATTATGCAAAAAAAAACTTAATAATGTAAGTCCAAAATTTTAGAATAATGTTAGTCCAAAATAATGATAGTATTTGGTAACATTCAAACCGGTTGTATTTGAGTAAGTTGATAAAATTCTGGCTGAATCTGCTGAATTGTGAAAGGAATATGTAAACTTTAATTTATAGTTCCAATTATAAACTCTGCAATGTAACTATTGTTTTGGGATGAGTGGGTAGTATTATATAGAGGACGACATGTCGACATGACCATGTGAGGACATGAGATCATTTTGTGTTACTACAAAAGTGATAATTTTCTTTCAAATAAAACAAAAGCGATAATTTCAAAGTTGTATTAAAAAAAAGTACGGCACACGCTTAGTGATTCCTTAGTAATATTTGACACGGTATTTTTATTTTCTTTAAATTTTTATTTTTTGAAATAAATGCACCGGTTATTGTATAAAATCTGAAGCGATTTTTTTTTTTTTACCCCGGAAGGTCAACCACCAAAATTAGTGGGGCAAATATCAGGGTACATTTGCCATATTTTATTACAATTAACCAAACATACAATTTTGAGGGGGACCAAACCAAACCTGAAGAAACAAAATTGAAATTATATTCTAAATGAAGGAATACCAAAAAAAATCCATCCAAAAAGCTCTTTTAGCAAAAATAGGAAGCATATCGGGCCTATTATAACTAATAAGAGTATCAGTCCGGACTTGGGCCAAGTGGTGTGCGGCCCAATTGGCTTCACGATTAATATGCCCAAAAGTAATCTATTGCCTAATCCGGAGCTGTAAGATTTTCTGAAGCTCAACCATCCATCTTCATCCCTCATTCCTTTCCAAACATCTCAAAGCTAGCAACGCATCTGTCTCGATCTTGAATCCACTGAAACCGGCCTCCACCATCCATCGAACCGCAAAGAAGATAGCTCGCAGCTCAGCATCAAGAGAAGTCTGAGCGACGATTGGGAAGCTAAGAGCCATAATGAAGTCGCCCTTCCTGTCCCGTAAGATCACACCTCCGACAGCTTTGTCAGGTGAGAAACTTGCATCCACATTCAACTTCCAACCTGAATGTGGCTTATTCTATCTAAAGCGAATATTAAAACAATTATTTTAAATACTAACTGAGACGCGCGGTGGTTATTACATTCAGAGCCGTTTTTTAGGGGGTTCAATAGGTTATCCAGAACAGGGCCCCCGAATTTATGGGGCCCCAAATTTTCAAATTTCTTTTAGTATTATATAGTACGGAGTAATATTATATATTAATACTAATCAGTAAAATACAATTAGTAATGAAGAAAAATAAAGATGCATGATTTTTCGTTGGTCCTTTTACTCTTTTAATTCTTTTTAATGAGTATATAATTGATTTGAGTATAACTATTTGGATTGATTGTTTTTAAAAAATTATACGGAGTATTAATTTGGGGCCTCGATTTTACATTTAAAACCGGGGCCTCCAAATTCATTAGACGGCCCTGATTACATTGATAACTATCGTGACTTCTTGCATTCCCTATGTATAAGGAACGAGGGTTTGCCGTAGAGAGCTCCTAGGGCAGAGCCGCCGCTAGGTAATTTCCGATTTCGATCTTTCTCGATCGAAGTTCGACCAGTGTTTCCCTAGCGAGATCTCTCGCGTTGGGTTTTGACCGGGTTAAACTTGCTAGTGTACAAGTGCCGATATAGTAATAAATTCCGGTAAAATACCGGGTCAAATCCACAGGGAAACGTTGTTTAATTTAGTCCGAGAGTAGATAACTTTAAATATTGAAATGAGTAAAGTGCAGAGATTTTGAGTTGTGTTTTATATTTTTGACTTTTCACTTTTAAATCAAGGAAATAACTTTAATTAATTCGGTTTAAAGATGAATGATAACAACGGCTAAGGTTTCGGGAATCACTTAAATGCTTTAATAGAGTTGAATATTAATTCTTTATCAATAATTATGAATACGATGTCGCTAATATATTCTCAACTTCAGTTAAGGCAGCGAGAGCGTGGTTTTCGTTACGTGTAAGTCCAGTTACGGCTTACATTCATCTAACGAAAACCCCGTTGAATATCAAGACATCACACCCGTATCATATAATACCAGATATATTTCTATTCTCGGTAATATATATGTTTATCCTTTAATGTTCATAGTTTAGACTTCAACGTTAATTGCAAGCATAAACTAAATTTAACATACTTCTATGTTGTACACCATAGTCATAAACAATCAAAATGTAAAGGATAAATCACAATTTATTGGTTTAGAACTTTTATCAAACCTAGAAGTTCATCCTAGCCTAAGAACTTAGCTCCTTGAACGTTGTGTGGGGTGCTCTGTTTGGGGCATGCTTGATTCACAAGCAGTGTGAGTTAGGGGAATGGGTAGGGAATATGCTAATTAGCTTACAACCTCATCATAGTGGCCGATACACACTTTTGGCAAATTTGCATTCAATGTCTGGGAACTGGAAAGCAATGGGTCAAGTACGAAGAATGATGAGAGAGAATGGGGTTGAGAAGAGCAAGGGATGTAGTTGGTTTGAACTGGAAGGCATTGTTCATGAGTTCATTGCTTTTGACCAATCGCATGTTGACTCTCAAATTGTGTATATGGTCTTGGATAGCCTTTTCAGCCATTTAGACCAAATGGAGTGGTGAAGTATTAGGAGTCCAAAATGTTAAAATAACATTTTTGGACTTCTAATTTCACACATTAGTTGAGTGTAGAGGGTATTAAAAATGGGTTTGGGGAGGGAAGGGGTTAAATTTGGAGGAGTTTTGGACAACCAAAAAGAAAAAGGAAAATAAAAGAAAAAGGGGAGTGGGGGGCATACCTGTTGTGCGCAGGTGGGGAGCAGAGGCCTAGAGCCGAATTATTTTCCCTCGTTGACGTCACAGTGACGTCAGCATGATGTCAGCATGCACTAGCAACGGCTGTTTTTTAAAAAAAATTTTGAAAGATCCAACAGCGGTGATGATCTTGGCACTGTTTGAACGGAAAAAAAAATAATGAATTTTTTTTTTACATCGAAATGTGTCTTTTTTAGTTTATAATTAATCAGAGAAAAAATTAAAAGGAAAACATTACTTATAATAATTTAATTAATGTTTTACTAAATTGATATGTAAAAAAATGTGCAGAGTGTATTTTATTGACGGTGCTGGAATGCAGATAATAGGAGTCAAAACACTGTTTTCATATCGACGGAGTCCATTTTTGACATTTGGACTCCCACCACTCCAAATGGTCTTGGAACCCACAAATTTTCTTCATTCACTCACCTTATGAATCTCACAAAATCTTTACAATTGCCATTAATTATTCTGGTTAGTAGTGTTCTAAAAAACACTTGGAGCTGGCAGAAGACTTAAGACCTAATTGCTAGGCAAAGCACAGGCAGAGCCGCAGAGAAACTGTGGGCTATCAAGAGAAGCCTTCCTTTGAATTTCGTGGTCCAAAAGCCAATCAATGACACTGAACGTTTTACCAAAAACCTCAACTGACCCGAACTTGGACATGTGAGTGCAGGCGCCTAAAAAACAAATGTGATTATATATGAAGTTGAAGGAGCACCAAGACTTGGTTGCAACGGAAAAAACACAATAAATTTGTAACTTTGTTATGTTTAGGAACAAGTTTTTGGATTCATAATGCGGGTTCTTTGTTGTTGTAATTAGTTTTATCATCACTTTCAACTTTATTTATGTACATGATTAGCTTGATTGCATTCATGTTTGAGTTGTAATACCAGGTCAAAATGTAGTTCTTCTAAAATGGAACCAAAATAGCACCGCCAGCTTACAATTATTACTAATTTTACTTTAACTACAAAATCAGATAGGAACAAACCTGAACCGGTTGGTTTTACCTAGCAGAACCAAATATGCATCATCGATTCCAGTCACCTTTAGGATTTAAATCGAACCAGAACTCACTCATGTCCACCCCTATCAAAGTCAATGAGGAATCCTTCCAAAGTTTAAGTCATCATTGTCTTACTTTAGTTAGTGTAGTGGGCACATAGGAGTATAGGACTATAGGAGTTTATGTTTATTGAAATATATTAGGCCACATGCATTTGCCACCTCACTGGGACACACTCCTACATGAATCACATTTCTCCATATGCATGAATATTTCATGGGCCATATTTTGAGATACCCTTCTCTCTCTTATTAATTGAGATGGTGAAATTATTTGCAAAGATTATTTATAAAAAAGATTCAGTATCAAACATTGAAACCAGATTATTTTAAAAGTCTATCCATCAAATATGGAAATTTTGGTGAGCCGTGATACTTTTCCTTTTCTAATAACCGTTTAACTGGGAATTCTTTCAATGGTAATTAGCACCCATAGTGAACTACTACTAGCTGTTCCCGTATATGTGAATTAAAAACTCAGTTCCTTTAAAAAAAACAAAAAAAAAAAACTCAGTTGCTTCAAAAGTGGCACGCAGCGTCTGGTCATATTGCCTTTTAATTTAATGATTGATTACGTGAAATGCAATTTCATACATTAAAAATACGTGAAATACTCTAAACACATGCGTTTAAAATATATCTCTATGTTATAAATACTCCGTACAGATTAAAAATATACTCCGTATGTATTAATATTTTTTTTACAGGTTTCGACAATGATCCTTCCGTATATATTAATATATGTGATTAATAAAACTGATTGGTCATGATTATTAAAAAAACTGATTGGTCATGATTTTCAATAACAATTCTCATTGCATTATTTTTTTTTGGAGTACAACTCAGGATGGATTTGAACAAAAGAAAAAAATTACAGAAGAGATCAAATAATGTTTGTAATCAGAAAAAATAGAAAAATGGTGAAGTATATGGTACATTAATATATACACATTGCATTAACATGTATGTTTGTAGGAGAGAGGCTCTTTTAATGCATTTTATACAAAAATCACAATAATCTAAGATCATGATTGAGAAGGAGTTACGAATGTTTGATATCATTTATGATTTTAGATGTGACAATGATGTGGCACAAAAAAGCTGTTCATTTGAATATCACCGAGTTGCTCTTAGGCTAACTGAATGGACAATTATATGAAAGTATAAAATGATATGAACTGTATCTATAATCAGTATAAAGATTTGATTTTACTAACACATTTTAGGATAACTTGTCAAGTAGCATGTGTGCTTATATATATACATGTTTAGCTTCAAGTATAGATGTATTCATTTGTCTATGATTTCAAAACTAAATTAGTTGCAATTCTTTATACCGATTTGGATACATTTAACTTTCTTAAGTTATGTGATCTAAATATTTAACTTTCCTAACTTTTAGAGCCCGCTTGATAGCACGAAAATCGGCTGATTTGGCTTATTCTGCTGAAATTTATGAAGTTTTGGCTGAAGTGGCTGCATTGGCTGATTCTGCTGATTTAAGAAAAAATTATTTTATAAAATAAATGTTATTTTAATAAAATAAAGAAAAAATTGTATGTAAAAATAGCTAAAATGATCATCTACAGTAACTTCAGTCAATACAACCAGAAAAGTAACTTCAACCTTACTTTTTCTGCTTATTACACAATTCTGCGCGAAAGCAAAAATTACATGTTTTGTGAAAAAGTTGGCTGATAAGCCTAATAAGCCGAAAAACAGTGTTACCCCAGACGACTTCTTACTTTCCCTTCATTTTCTATTCATTTTCTATGCATTTTCATTTTTGTACATCTCTCACCATTCTCAAACTAAAAGATCTTACTTTTAATTCACCTGATACCGTACCTGTTTTTGGCATGATGTTCTGAATGCTCAATGTCCTGAATTTTAAATTTTATGCGCTCAAGTGAAAGAATTAAAGTGAGTTGTAATAATCCCATCATATTGGATTGCTTTCTCTTTAAAAAAATCATATTGGATTGCTCTTATAAATCTGATGCCAGCGCCCATTTCCAGCTTGCCTGAGACACTGAAATATTTCTTATCACGTCAGAAAAAATGGAGCTTGATCCATCTCAAGCAGATTCATTCTCTGCTGATCACATTTGGTCTCTGCCACCACAATTCCTTTCTCAGGCAACTACTCGACCAATGCGTATCGCTCCCTTCATTCCCCTCTTCCTACGCTCTTTCCATCTTCACTCGAATCAAAGAACCCAATGCCCATTCCTGGAACGCCATGATCAAAGGCTATTCCACCACCTCAAACCCTCACAACTCCATTCTTCTCTTCGCGAAGATGCGGGAAAGTCTCGTCTTTCCTAACATACACACCTTCCCTCTGCTTCTCAAGGCGTTTTCTAAGGCCAGAACAGAAAACCCACTCCAGGTTTTTGCCCAAACTGTGAAATTTGGATTTGATACTGACCATTTTGTGCAGAACTCTTTGGTTTCTTCTCTAGCCGTTTGTGGGTACATTGACTATTCCTGCAAGGTGTTTGTTGAAATGCCTCAAAAGGATGTGATTTCTTATACCGCATTGATTGATGGGTACACGAGGAACGGTAGGCCATCTGAAGCTTTAGAGCTCTTTCTACAGATGAGAAGAGAGGGTGTGAAGGTGGATGAGGGCACTATAGTCAGTGCTCTTTGTGCAGTCGGGTTGTCAAGATGTTCTTGGTTCGGGAAATGGCTTCACGGGTTCTATATAATTCCGGGTAGAGTCCATCAAGATATCTTCATCGGGAGTTCTCTGGTGGATATGTATTCCAAATGTGGATTGTGCAGTGATGCAAGTTTAGTCTTTTCAGAGATGCCGAACAAGAACATAGTTTCCTGGACAACGATGATATCTGGATTTATTAACTGTGAGCAATTCAAGAATGCACTGACCGCTTTTGAATCCATGCTGGCAAGTGGATTAGAGCCTAACCAAGCCACATTAACAAGTGTTCTAGCCGCTTGTACTAAACTAGGTGCTCTTGATCATGGCAGGTGGGTCCAGAAGTATATCGAGTCAAATGGTTTGGGTTTAAATCCGGCTCTTGCCACTGCTTTGGTTGATCTGTACGCAAAATGTGGATGCATCCGTGAAGCACTCTTACTTTTCAAGAAGATTTCATTTAATAAAGATGTTTATGTATGGACAGCCATCCTTAACGGTTTGGCAATGCATGGTGAAGTTAGAAAATGCTTAGATCTCTTCGGGGAAATGTTAACCAATGGGGTAAAGCCAAATGGGGTGACATTCATAGGAGTTCTCAGTGCCTGCTCCCATGGAGGACTTGTTGATGAGGGGAAAAAACTGTTTGGAGCGATGGAGAGTGTCTATGGAATAAAACCAACCGTGGACCATTATGGTTGCATGGTTGATCTATTGGGTCGGGCTGGACAGCTTGATGGAGCGATCAAGTTGATTGAAGGGATGCCGTCGGAGCCCACCCCGGGTGTGTGGGGTGCTCTGTTTGGTGCATGCTTGATTCACAAGCAGTATGAGTTAGGGGAATGGGTAGGGAATATGCTAATTAGCTTACAACCTCATCATAGTGGCAGATACACACTTTTGGCAAATTTGCATTCAATGTCTGGGAACTGGAAAGCAATGGGTCAAGTACGAAGAATGATGAGAGAGAATGGGGTTGAGAAGAGCAAGGGATGTAGTTGGTTTGAACTGGAAGGCACTGTCCACGAGTTCATTGCTTTTGACCAATCGCATGTTGACTCTCAAATTGTGTATATGGTCTTGGATAGTCTTTTCAGCCATTTAGAACCCACAAATTTTCTTCATTCACTCACCTTATGAATCTCACAAAATCTTTACAATTGCCATTAATTATTCTGTTTAGTAGTGTTCTAAAAAACACTAAGAGCTGGCGAAGACTTGAGGCCTAATTGCTAGGCAAAGCACAAGCAGAGAAACTGTGGGATATCAAGAAAAGCCTTCGAATTTCTTGGTCCAAAAGCCAATCAATGACACTGAACGCTTTACCAAAAACCCCAATTGGCCTGAGCAGGGGCGGAGTTAGGGCACTGGGCCGGTACAAACAATATTTTTGGAATTTTTTTTACACAGAATTTTTTTCACTAATATACAAGCATTTTTAAAATTTGGACTGGGCCAGGGCCAAGGATGGGCCTTCCTTAGCTCCGCCCATGGGCCTGACCTGAGCTTTAAGAAATAGGAAAAATTGATAGTAATAATCCTAACTATTGGCGGTCCGCTCATAATAATCCCAACTATCGATTATTTCAGAATAATCCTAACTATAGGGACCTTCCGCCAATAATGGTCCCTATAAATAATTTTTTGTAGTTTTTAAAGTGAATGAGAAGAGATATAGCAAGTAATCCCTATAAATAATTCTAACTTTTAATTTTTACGCTTAATTTCTATTTAAAAATCAATTGTTACCGGAGATAATATATGGTCATAGACCATTATTGGCGGACGCTCCATATAATTGGGATTATACAAAAATAATCAATGGTTGGGATTATTGTCAGCGGACCGGCAATAGTTGGGATTATTATTTTCAATTTTTCCTAAGAAATATCATGATTGGCTTTGGACATGTGAGTGCAGGTGCCTAAAAACAAATGTGATTATATATGAAGTTAAGGAGTAACAAGACTTAGTTGCAACGGCAAAAAAACACAATAAATTTGTAACTTTGTTATGTTTAGGATCAAGTTTTTGGATTCATAATGCGGTTCTTTGTTGTAATTAGTCTTATCATCACTTTCAAGTTTCAACTTTCTTTATGCACAAGATTTCATTCATGTTTGAGTTGTATTACCAGGTCAAAATGTAGTTCTAAAATGGAACCAAAACAGTACCACTGGCTTACAATCATTAGTATTTTTACTTTATACAAATTCGGATAGGAACAAACCTGAACCTTTTGGTTCTACGCAGGGGCGTATCCAGGGTGGGGGCAGGGGGGGCAGCTGCCCCCACTCAACCCCACCCAACCCTTTTATATATATATATATATCCAAATTAAATTTATACATATATTTTTGTTCTAAATAAAGGGTTATTATAGAGTAAGTACAAGATTTTTAATGAAAGGTGCTAGTGTTTCAACGGAAAGAGATGTTGTGTTAAGTCTTGCGTTCCAGTGAGGTCAGGAGGTCAATTCCTACTTGTAGTTGTTTTTTAAGTTTTATTTCTTTTGTGCTTGAAGCCTTGAGCAAATTCTAAGTGGTTTTACATTGTTCTTTTTACTCTTTTTTTCTTGTTGGAAAGATCTAAACTACATCAATATATTTACAATTCTAGTTTCACATATGAACTGATTTTGTACATGATATATAATATTTTTTAAATATACTTGTGAATTTCCCCAATTCCTACTTGTAGTTGTTTTTTATGTTTTATTTCTTTTGTGCTTGAAGCCTTAAGCAAATTCTAAGTGGTTTTATATTGTTCTTTTTACTCTTTTTTTTCTTGTTGGAAAGATCTAAACTACATCAATATATTTACAATTCTAGTTTCACATATGAACTGATTTTGTACATGATATATAATATTTTTTAAATATACTTGTGAATTTTAAATTTAAATTAATTCTAACTACATGCTCCTCCTTCCCTTAGTTGATTCATTTATATATTGACATAATTTTTCACAAATTACAGATTCCATGTGATGAAATTATTTCAAACGAAGTGAAATTTAATTAAACGTGATATCATAATGTTTTTTATGAGAGAATATTTTGTTATTTATAATTGGTTTTACAATTTTTTTCTTAATCTGATTTTTCATGTAATTTTTTTTCTTAATCTAAGGTAAATCCGCCCCCGCTGACATATTTTTCTGGATACGCCACTGGTTCTACGGTTCTACCTAACAGAACCAAATATGCATCATCGATTCCAGTCACTCCTTGGGATTTTAATCGAAACAGAACTCACTCATGTTCACCCCTATCAAAGCCAATGAGGAATCCTTCCAAAGTTTAAGTCATCATTGACTTACTTTAGTTAGTTTAGTGGGCACATAGGAGTATCAGAGTATGGGACATTTTATGAGTTTATGTTGATTGTTGAATGTCATTTTCAGGTATTTGGCCAATTTCTAGAACAAATGGTTTTGTTGCTTCAATGTTTCATAGTTTCACTAAATTTGAAGTATTAAGACATTGCAAATCAAAAAGGTTTCTTCGCTTCGATGTGTCATAGTTTCACAAAATTTGAAGTATCAAGGCATTACAAATTTCCAAGGTATGTTTGAGGGCATTCAACAATGTTATTCTTCAGTAGTGCATAAACGCAAAGCTCTAAGCAAAAGTAAAATTCCCTTGAGGAGAGATGCAGTATGAATCTAAAAAGAATTGGTACAGGGAAACTTCTATGCCAGCTCATTAGCTGGTAAAGCTTTCACAATCTCTTGATTGTTTTATACCCTCGTGTGTAATTGTGGAAAGTGAGGTGAAGAAGTGGCTACCAATAAGCAGTTATAAGAATAAATAGCAAAATTGCCAACACATTTTTCCCAGCTCCAATGTTGCAAGAGTGTTTGTCAGGAAGTTAAAAACTCAAACTTTTACTTTGCCATTTATCTTGTTTAACGGAACTGGAAACTTCCAGGCTCGACATGAAAATTCTTAGTCTGCTTTATCTTCACAGGGCTCCAATAACCATTTTGCTCTCCAAATGATTGAAGGAGATAAAAGGCGTTCTGTTTTCCATCCTGATGACTGAAGCTGCCATAGTAAAACACAAGAGGTGTGGAGTGTAAGTTGAAAGAGCAAGTGTATGTAGTTATTTTGGGATTTATAACTTATTTTAAGCTCCAAATAAACTACCCCAGCCCTGTTTTGTAATACATAAAGTAAGAACCTAGAATAAGTTCTTATTAAAAAAGCTATCCAATATCGTAATTCGAAAATAGTGTCCTAGCTTTTTATTTATTTCCACTAATAACATGATTCTTTAACAGAAATAGCACCCTTTGTCCACTTATATCTTATAATCAGTATAAGGAATGTCATTTTATGCATTTTTACCACTCCTAACACCAATTAGAACTTTCAACTTTCAGCTCCTAGCAACATACTTTGCAGCTCCCGGATAGCTCTTCAGTTATGCATGCCAAACAGACATAATCATGTATTCTTATTTCACTAGTTTGGAAGGGGAAATTTATAAAACATAGTCCTACAGTACACAGAAATTCCAACTTGTCAACTTCAAGAAAACAAGCATAGTGTCCAAGTAGAAGAAAACCTTTAGGATGAAGGTCTCATAGTGCTTTCCGATCCACAATTCACTCTCCACATGCACAGATGGCTTACCCTCAGCAGCAAGTTTTGCAATGACAAGAGCATGTATGAATGAACGCAAGATATCTGCCGGTGTTGAATCTCTATGCACAACAATGCTGATAAATCCATTTTTCTCCAGCAGTAAATACTTAGCTAGATAAACCACCCGAATGAGATGATTAAGCAGTTAATTGAGGTGATATATTCTTCATGCATTCATGTTTAGCTGCTCTCATATGCTTTTCACGAAATCTAAGAGTAAAACAGTAGGGGTGTTGAATAGTGTATAAAAAGCTAAAATGTAGGACAGGCATGAAGAAGTAGAAAAAGAAGAATAAATAAGATTTAAAAGCAACTTAAGGATTGCTAAGATGTTTATAATTTTTTATATGATAATAGTTGAAAAAATGGAAAGTGGAAAAAGTATTGATAAGCTTCCCTGAGAGGAATATGGAGCAACTAAAGCATAGAGACATAGAGTATATTTACTATACAAAGTTTAATGCAGCATATAAACCTTTTAAGTAATGAGGTCCAGCAGATTTCAAAAGGTCCTCCCTGTAAATCATGGTAAAAAAACTCACTCAGAACCTGCGGTTTTGCTTGTTTTTATTACATGGGGGGGGAGCTATGCAATCTGCACTGCAAATTAAGAATATGATATGCCCCAGCAATTCAGGAACAGCAAACCGAACTTACATTTCTTTACATTTAAGTGAAGTAATTCTTAAACCTAAGAAAACATTCTTGTGTAACGGAGTAATACTTCTAGGTCTCCACGATGTCATCCATAACGGAAGAATATTCTCCATGGAGGAGACCTGGTTTGGAGAGCGAACTGGCAATAAAACATAAGTAAATCATTCAGTTTGGATACGAAAAACTACATTGGCATTAATGGTTCCTATGCATCTTATGATAGGAAGTAAATGATAAGTAAAATAATACTTCTAGCAGATTTAAAATGCGATGGTGGCTCATAGGGGGATTATTAATGATACATTAGGTTGACTTAACATCCATCATAGAAAGTTAACCTAATAGGATAAGTAATACAATATCTTGTACGCTTGTATTTTATATTTTCTGATGTGAGATGACTTAACACTTCAGATACAAAAAAAAAAATGTCTTTAGTTGAAAGATGAAGAAGGTTATGGAATCACCTTGGCCTGTCTCAAAGAAGTGTAACAGAAGAATGGAGGTTCTTTCACAGTTCATAGTGGTCAGTGAAAGACAACAAACAGCCTTATAGTTTGCTACAAACATCAAAATTAACAAGGGCAGCTTAGATGCAGAAGATTTAGCAATGCAAGGGCTAGGGCCTAGGAGGGAAGGTATAGAGGAAAACAATGAAAAAAACTGACCATACATATGGAAAACAGTAAGAGACAAGAACAATGTCCATATGGCAATTGAGTGTCCCGTAGTGATGCGAGCAAGTAACATTCCTAATGCCATCCCAATCATTGTAGCAACAGTCTCTTGGCTGCCTTCCTATATGTTTAATCAAGGAAGGAGAAAACTGTAATGACGCGTGTTGCAACTATCCAAAAGGAAAGCTCTGTGATTTTAGTGGAAGTCTATGTACCTTTGCAGATATGTCAGCTGCATTGTCTTGAAGGGCAAAATGTTGTGTCAAAGCTGCTCTTGTAGCCCCACTAGCAACACCAGCTACATAAGAACAGCGTGTGAAAGAGACAGATATAGTCATGTTCCATGATGTGTGCAAGTTGATTTTATCATTTTTGCAGTGCGGCTTGACTATAACAACTTCCTTGATATATTCCGTAGAGTGAAAAGAGAGATGATAATGACATTCTTTTTGGGATTTCATTTCATTATTCCTTTTTTATAGGGTTAACTAATTTTAAAACAATTAAGCGACTACATATATTTTATTTCCACGAAGACCACGACCCAAATGTAATTCACATTAAGGTAATGATGATGGATGGTTTTCACATCCAACACTATTTTTCTAAACATTACTTGTACGAAATTCAGGGCTAGCAAACATAACTCTAGAGACATGGAAATGAGAAATCAGGTATATCACCTACCAATTCCATGGACGGATTGGAAGGAGATTGTATAAGAACTTACTGAATGATCTTGATAAGCTTCCCAAACAAAGAATGAACAAAAAAGCAGATGGAGTTAATGGAGAGAGGAGGTCCATCAACATTCCTATGAGAATTAAGACAGACACGGTTGAGGGTTAGAGAGATGAGTCAGATGACATAGTCTTATTGATGTATTTTCCAGTCCCAATATTAGAAAGAATGTTAAAGAACCAACCGAGGTCATTCATAAGATCAGCAACCAGCCGCCACATTTTGGCATTGCTGTCCAAATTTGAACCCTAAAAACACAGAGATGCTGTAAACTTTTGTTAAGTTGGTCTTAACTTGAGGTTTACCTAATGGCTAATGGTAACTCACCAGTCACCACATCAAACTCAATAGACAACCAAGACTAATGGGACAAACAGGTAGCCTTGACCATAAATCAAGTTAAATGGCATCTAACTAAGTCCAAAAGGATTTTTAAAGAGTTGAGATTAATCT